TATACAAAATTATATGTTAAATTCAAAATTGGTTATTTAACATTATAATTGCCTTGAGCTTGATGAGATTAACTCAATATTATTAGGGATCATGGATCATCTTCAAATTATGAAACTAAAGTTTCAATTTCTCAGACACTTAGAATATTCTAGTTGGCAAGATACCATGTACACATTCATCCAACTTTTAAGCAAAATTATCAAAAGAAAAATCTTTTGTACACATTCACCAATGAAAGATTTATGGCTCAATAAAAAACAAAAAATTTTTTATTTGAGGGGCAGATATTCTAAGAAGAAACTTTTAGGCCCAGTTCTCTCAGCAACAGGTTTGATACTTCTGTAAATATCATTACAAAAATTTTAAAATACAATTAATTTTCAGATATCACAGAATTCACAAGTCACTTTTTTCTTTTTATTGTTTGTTTTGAATTTTCAAAAAGGCCTTTCGAAGGAACGGTTTACTCCTTTAGATAACACGACACAATCATAATGAAAACTCACTCTAAGAATTGTTTTCTTGTCATCAATCACCCACCATTTTTCCCCCTTCATAGGAAATTCTGATTCAAAGAGTTTCTCAGTTATGATTTTTCTAAGTGAAAAGTTTATTACTCTTTAAAAAAATTGTAGTATAATACATATAAACATAAAATTTATCATTTTTCAATGTACAGTTCACTTGCATTAAGGACATTCACATTGCTGTGAAACCATCACCACCATCCATCCCCATGATTCTTTTCATCTTGTGAAACAAAAACTCTATATTCATTAAATAATAACTCCCCATTCTTCCCTTGCCCTAACCCCTGGAAATCACCATGTACTTTGTCTTTATGATTTTTACTACTCTAAGTACTTCATATAGGTAGAATCATACAGTATTTGTCTTTTTGTGGCTGGCTTATTTCACTTAGTATAATGTCCTCAAGTTTCATCCATGTTATTGCATATGCCAGAATTGCCTTCCTTTTTAAGGCTGAATAATATTCCATTGTATGTATATACCACATTTTGTTTATCCATTTATCCTTCCATAGATACTGGGGTTTCTTCCACATTTTAACTACTGCAAAAAAATGATATTATGAACATGGGTATGCAAATATTCCTTTGAGGCCCTGCTTTCGATTCTTTTGGGAATATACCCAGAAGTGGATTTGTTAGATCACATGAAATTCTATTTTTAACTTTTTGAGAAATCTCCAAACTGTTTTTCACAGTGGCTCTATCATTTTTCATTTCTACAACAGTACACAAGGATTCCAATTTCTTCGCATCCTTGCCAACACTTGTTGTGTTCTATTTTTTTGATAGTAACCATCCTTATGGGTGTGAGGTGGTATCTCATTGTAGTTTTGATTAGTATTTCCCTAATGGTTAGTGATGTTAAGCGTGTTTTCATGTGCGTATTGGCCATTAGTGTATTTTCTTTGGAGAAATGTCTATTCACGTCCTTTGCCCAGTTTTGAATCAGCTTGGATTTTTTTTTATTGTTGTTGAATTTTAGGTGTTCTCTATATATTCTGAATATTAACCCCTTAGATATATGATTTGCAAATAATTTCTCCCATTCTGTGGGCTTTTACTCTACTGATAGTGTCTTTTGATCCACATTTTTTTTTTTTAATTTCTGTGAAGTCCAATTTACCTATTTTTTCTTTTGTTACCTGTGACTTTGGTGTCGTATCTAAGAAAACATTGTCAAATCCAATATCATGAAGATTTTGTCCTATGTTATCTTCTAAGAGTTTTATTGTTTTAGCTCTTACGTTTAGGTCTTTTATCCATTCTGAGTTAATTTTTGTATATGGTGTTCATTAAGGCTCCAATGTTACTCCTCTGTATGTAGATATCCAGTTTTCCAGCACCATTTGTTGAAAAGACTACCCTTTCCGCATTGAATTGTCTTGACACTCTTGTCAAAAATCATTTGTCAATATATGTGAGGGTTTATTTCTGGGCTCTCTATTTTATTCCATTGGTCTATATGTCTGTCTTTAGGCCAATTCCTCACTGGTTTAATTACCATAACTTGTACTAAGTTTTGAAATCCTGAAGTGTCAGTCCTCCCTTTTTGTTCTTATTAAATATTGTTTTGGCTATTTGGGGTCTCTTGAGATTCCAAATGAGTTTTAGGGTGGGTTTTTCTATTTCTGCAAAAATGTCATTGTGATTTTGATAGGGATTGTGTTGAATCTGTAGATCACTTTGCTATTTTAATAATTGACATTTAATATGACATTTTAACAATGTTAAGACTTCCATTCCATGAACATGGGGTATGTTTCCATTTATTTATATCTTCTTTAATTTCTTTCAGCAATGCTTTTTAGTTTCATTGTACAAGTCTTTTACCTCCCTGGTTAAATTAATTCCTATGTATTTTATTCTTTTTGATGATATTATGAATGGACTTGTTTTTGTAATTTCCTTTTCAGATTGTTCATTGTTTGTGTATAGAAATGCAGCTCATTTTTGTATGTTGACTTGGTATCTTGCTACTTTGATAGATTCATTTAGTAGTTCTAACATTTTTTTGTGTGTGTGTAATCTTTAGGGTTTTCTTCATATAAGATCATATCATCTGCAAACAGAGGTAACTTTATTTCTTCCTTTCGATTTTGACTCTATTTCTTTATCTTGCTTAATTGCTTTGGATTGATGTGGTGAATGTTAGCATTTTTGCCTTGTTCTTGATCTTAGAAAAAATGCTTTCAGTCCTTCACCATTGAGTGTGATATTCACTATGTTTTTGCTATATGACTTTTATTAGGTTAAGGTAGTTTTCTTCTATTCCTAGTTTGTTGCGTGTTTTGATCATGAAAGTGTATTGAATTTTGTTAAATGCTTTTTTTCAGCATCAATTGAGATGATCATGTGGTTTTTTTTCTTCATTCTGTTGATGTGGCATATAGCATTCATCAATTTTCATATGTTGGACTATCCTTGCATTCCAGGAATAAATTTCACTTGGTTATGTTGTAAAATCTTTTAATATGCTGCTGAATTCTGTTTGCTAGTATTTTATTGAAGATTTTTACATCAGTGTTCTTAAGAGATATTGGTCTGTAGTTTTCTTTTCTTAGAGTGTCTTTGTCTGGCTTTGGTATCAGGATAATGCTGGCCTCATAGAAGGAGTTAGGAAGTGTTCCTTCCTCTTCAAGTTTTTGGAAATGTTTGAGGAAGATTGGTATTAGTTCTTAAATGTTTAGTAGAAGTCACCAGTGAAGCCATCTGGTCTTGGGCTTTTGTTTGTTGATAGGTTTTTTTATTACCAGCTTAAGCTCTTTACTACTTATATGTCTATTCAGATTTTCTGTTTCTTCACGATTTAGCCTTGATAGGTTTTGTGTTTCTGGGAATTTGATAATTTTATCTAGGTTATCCAGTTTGTTGGTGTACAGTTGTTCATAATTCAATCTTACCTTCATTTTTATTTCTGTAGAATTGGTAGTAATGGCCTCACTTTAATTTCTGATTTTAGTAATTTGAATCTTCACTCTTTTTTTCTTAGTCCATCTAACTAAAAGTTTATCAATTTTGTTGATCTTTTTGAAGAAATAACTTTGATTTCATTGATTTTCTTTATTGTTTTTCTATTCTCTATTTCATTTATCTCTGCTGTAATCTTTGTTGTTTCCTTCCTTTTGCTAGCATAGAGTTTAGTTTGTTCTTCTTTTTCTAATTCCTTAAGTTGTAAAGTTAGGTTGTTGATTTGAGATCTCTCTTGTTTCCATTTTGTTTGCATATCATTTTCTTGACTCTCTCTATATCTTCCTTTAGTTCTTTGAGCATCTTTAAGATACTTTTTTATGTTTTTTAAATCTTTGTCTAGTATATCTGCCATTAGGTTTCTTTCATGGACAGTTTCTGTTGATTTTTTTTCTTCCTTTGAATAGGCCATACTGTCTAGTTTCTTTGTATGCTTTGTGATTATGTTGTTGAATACTGGGCATTTGAATCTAATAATGTAGTAACCCTGAAAACCAGATTGTCCCTCTTCCCAGGTTTTGCTGTTTTTTGTTTTTATTTTTGATTGTTGTAGGCTGTCTCTGTGCTGAAGATCAGCCTGAAGTGTAAATTTAAGGTATTCTTGGGTTTCTGTTGAGCCTTTCTGTGAGCATGCATGTGGTCACTTTCTAATTTTCCCTTTATATGCAGTTGTTTTGAATATCCTAGCCTTTAATGTCTGGCTCCTGAAAGGGGAAAAAGTGAAAAATAAAGGGGAAAGGTGCTAGCCCAAATCTTCTGGAAGTCATTTCAGCCAGAAGGGTAGGGTCTTGCAACAATGGGAGGTTGTGCAACATTGATGACTGGCTGCCTCTTTGTCTTCACTTCTGTCATCAGAGGCAGCAATCAGAGATCAGACCACAGATCCCTGATATTTGGAGGACAGTGTGATTTTTTTTCTCCCTGGCTCCTCCAAGCTATGTGCAAGCTTCTCCAGGAAAATGTTCATGGTTGCCTGCCATGTGGCTGGGTTTGGGAGATGGGTAGCTACTACTGTGCTAAGAGCTGAAATTGATTGAAATTAACCACAAATTACCCTCTAAGACTTCGACTGGAAGTTGCAAGCCTTCAATAGATTCCACAGTTCCAAAATAGTTACACAAGATAGGTTCTGCCAGTACAGTTGTTGTCTAGATGGGCAGACAGATTCCTGGGGCTTCTTACTCTGCCATCTTCCTAGAATCCTCTTTCCTCAGGTGAAATTTTATACCTGAACACTTCACTGGTATTTGCCTGTAAAGATACCAGGTTCCATCTAGAAAAGATCCTGAGTACTTTCCTCAACCCTAGTGTTACCATCTTACCACCTGGTTCATGACTTCAGTCTTGGAGATGAATGAGAGTTGTCAAGTTATACAGCTAAAGAGCACTTTTTTTTTTTAGTGAGAAAGATTAGCCCTGAGCTAACATCCATTGCCAATCCTCCTCTTTTTGCTGAGGTAGATTGGCCCTGGGCTAACATCTGTGCTCATCTTCCTCTACTGCCACGGCGTGACTTGACAGGCAGTGTGGAGGTCCGCACCCGTGATCTGAACCTGTGAACCCCGGGCCGCTGAAATGGAGTGCATGAACCTAACCACTATGCCACCGGACCGGTCCCTAGAGCACAGTTTTTTAAGATTAAAATATATACAAGTGTGTACTACAAAGTCAGAGGCACTGAGGTATCTGTCCCATTGTATAGGCTTTTATAGCTTCTCTGTCTTATCCATAAAAACACAACAGCAGCCAATGTCACCATCTATACAAAGTGAGAATTTTGCGAGGCTAGAAAAGCTTGCATTTGTCATTCTATAGGTGGTTAGACATTTATGTGCCTGTACCGGACTGCCCAAAAGGCTCCATTTATATACCTAATCAGCTGACATTATCCTATGTAAGTTTTAGATTATCAATCTTGCATCTATTGGGGAGTTTGGAATGGAATGGCATAGAGGAGAAATTAAAGAGAGTGTTGTGATTATTCTTTCTGTACAGGTGTTTGCTGATGGTGACCTGAGTAGTCTGGAGAAGGAATCTTTTCATGGTTGATGGTAAGGAGCTCTCAGACACTGGAGTAGAATTGCCTAGGTTCAAATCTTGGCTATATTTCTCGTGATCTGTGTAATAGTAGGCAATATGTATAAATTCTCTTGGCATCATTTTTACCATCTCTAAATTAGGAAAATAATGCTACTTCATATGGTTGTAGAGAATATTAAATTAAATATATATATACATACACACACACACACATACGCACAATGGTTAGCATAGGAAGCACTCAATAAATTTGTAAATATTTATCTTCAAATATGTATGTGTAAGTATGAGTGTGTGTATGTGTGTGTGCATTGTAGTAGTAGTATAGAAGTCACAGTGGAAGGAAAGTAATGGATTTTAGATATACTTTACAGAGAAAATTGACAGGAATTTTTTCATAGATGAAATATATGGCATAAGGTAAAGGAAGGACCCAAGAATGTCCCCTAAATTTCTAGCTTGTACAACTAATGGTGCTATTACTTAAGATGGGAAAGCATGGAGAAGGCACAGTGATGGGATCAAGCAAGGAAAAGCAAACTGAAGCCATGTTTTTCTGTCTCCAAAGTCCATCCTTTATATTTGCTATGGAAAAAGCACTCTGTGGTGATTTGTGGTCTTCTTTGGGGTCTTCTTCGTGGTCTTCTTCCATATGATGGGGTTCAGGGCAGGCCCCTCCAAGATGTGCCACTCTAGTGTGTAGATTAGTTTGAACTGAACACAGTAAAGGCTCAGAAGACTCTGAGGGAACCTTTGACCTCCCCCCACTAACTGCTTAAAAGGCTTTAAGACAGAAGGGCTTCCCCCAGGACAGGCCATCACCATAGGTAACTCTGGGTATTAATAGACTGAGAGGGTCCTTGCTAAGCCCATTCTTATCAAAGTTCTGTTACCAAACATTTACATTTGTAAGGGAAATCACCATTTATAAAGATATCTCCCTCTCTGTACTGGGAAGAAGGGGGATGACCTGTTCTCTAGAAACTTATCAGTGCAGAAGGTGAGTCCTTAAATCTGCATAATAACCTTACTTTTGTTTACTGTGCTTTTCTGGTAATCTCCCATAACTGACTCCCCCCACCCCCAACACCGTCCTTTGTCAGATAGTATTTAAGACGAGAACCTTCACCATTTTGTCAAGTTACCCAGTTTTTCCGGGTTTCTCCCATGTAAACATGTTATAAAGCTTTGTTTGATTTTCTCCTTTTATTTTGTCTCATGTCAACTCAATTTCTACCTCAGCCAGAAAGGACCCAGAATGGGTAGAGGATAATCTTTCCTCCCCTTCACATAGTAAACTGTAACTGCAAAGGAGACAGGGGGTTGCTTTGTATAATGCACACCTACCTCTAGGACACATCAAATAAACATAAAATATGAATGAAATGAGATTTTTAATTATGCAAACATAGCTTCAAAATAAATTCCCTATCTCCCTCTTCAAAACACATGGCTGTCTCTTAGAATTTTTTATATGGAAAGTTTGCATCCATCACTCTTGCAAGAAGGACAGATTCACAGAGAAAATTCACTAGAATAAGGATGACAGGCTACACAGAGAAGGCAATGTGTTTAGGGTCCATCAAGAATTCTACTTGATAAATCATATGAAATTGTCAATATTTGATCCTTTTTGGCCTACAAGAAAAGCAGTCTTGTATAGTTTAGCCAAACAGTCTGGCAGAAGGTCAGGTGATTTTTCTGAGAACTCTAATGGCTGTCATCTTATAAACAAGTCTTTTCTACACCCTGCCATCAATATTGCTCAGAAAATCTTTGAATCTATTTTTTTTTTGCATATATTTTGTCTTCTGCTTCCTTTATCAACTAATGAAATCTCAACATATATTTTTATGCAATTTCTCAAAAAAAGAGAATCTAACTGATCTATCCATTTACATTGCCCCTTTGCGGGCAGAGATTTCTCACCAGATATAAAATTTTTGTTCAATTTCAAAATGTATTAAAATCCATTTAAAGTTTGTAATGGATATTGTTTCAACTCAATATTTTATAAATATCACACAGACAATTTTTTCATTTTAGTCTAATTATACAGACAATAAGCTTTATATTTATGCATAGCATTTTTGCTATAGATAATTTCACGTTTTCAATTTTTTCTACCATTAATATCATATAATAACTATTCTGTAATTAATTAACAACTACTTATTAGTACAATATCAATAAGATGCTGATTGCAAAATCAAAATTATTAAAATATTAGATGATTTATCAATGAAATTAATGAAGCTTTATTAAGCAAAATAACACATATTTTGCATTGAAATTTAAAGAGATGAAATATGCCCTTGGGTCATTGAATTCTATGTTTTCATCATTAATATGTTACAATGTGATGTCTACTTTTTTTTCTGTAAATTACTTCAAGTAGTACTTTGTCACTATGTACACCCGAACCTTTTCTTTTTTTGAGAATATACAAATAGACAGCAGGTGAATGCCAGAAGAGATTTACTGACTTGGCTTTCTATATTGCTCTCCTGTGTGATGTTAGGCCCTGCTCAATATGTAATAATAAAATAAAAGTTCAGGGGCTGGCCCCATGGCTTAGTGGTTAAGTGCACACACCCCACTACTGGCGGCCCAGGTTCGGATCCCGGGCGCGCACCGACGCACCGCTTCTCTGGCCATGCTGAGACCGCGGCCCACATACAGCAACTAGAAGGATGTGCAGCTGTGACATACAACTATCTACTGGGGCTTTGAGGAAAACAAAAAAAAAAAAGGAGGAGGATTGGCAATAGATGTTAGCTCAGAGCTGATCTTCCTCAGCAAAAAGGGGAGGATTAGCATGGATGTTAGCTCAGGGCTGATCTTCCTCACAATAAATAAATAAATAAATAAATAAATAAATAAATAAATAAACAAACAAATAAATAAATAAATAAAAGGTCAAATTGCAAGATGAATAAGCCCAATCCACTGATCACGATGCAGGAGAAGTACAGGTGCTCCCAGTATCCTGGGAACTAGGTTGACATCGCTGAGAACCCCAAGAACTCTGAGCATCTGTCTCCTGAATTGTAAAACAGAGACATGGATTCTCGCCATATCTACTTCATAGAGTTGTGACAAAAATGAGATAATGATGGTGAAAGGACACTATTAATAAATCGTTGTGATACATAAATATCTATTACTCATAGATGACAAAACTTAGATTTAGACAGACTAAATGACTAATTAATTGTAGACCATCTTTAAAAGTCCATGTACTTCTTTCTTTGAAATTCTATGGAGAATGATATAAACTTGAGGACAATGGTTAGAGTAATATCTCCTTCATTTTCTAATTCTCAGCCTAAATCATTCCTGTTGCAATTTAGTTCTATTCTTTGGTCCTTCTCCGGTGCAAGGGAGAGCAGTTGTTCATCTACACCTGTAGAAGATCATTCACATCATCACATACAATGTTATTATTAGATCCTTTTGTTAGCTGTGTTTTATCCAAGTCATGCAAACATAATTCTTTATGTTTTACATGTTATCCTGATTTTCTAGCCGTTTAATCATATCTCTTCCTATGCACTGTGGCATCTCCAATTTTTTTATTTCTATTAAGTTTGAGGCACTGAATTTGGAAACACTATTCAAATAATGACTAGACCAATGATAATTGTGATTTCCTCACATTCTCTGACTAATATTCATTTTGAATATTTGAGACTCATGCTTGATAAACTTTAATTGGTAATCATTTATAGTTTCAAATAAATTATGGTCGTCTGCCACACCCATTCCCTCAAAGTGGGAAAATGTATATGATCCTCATGTTGATGTAATTACATAATATCATTTTTCTTATATTGCTTCACTATGTAATGTCTTATTATTTTGCTCTCAACTTAGCGTCCTTTTGAGGTTGGAATGATTGGTTAGTAATATTACAAAAGGGCCTCATGTTTATTGTTCACTTATGGTACATAAAATATATAAAATACAGGCTGAAATAGAATCACGTTTGTCTTAATGATAATAACAAAGTTTTTGATGAAAAAATTAACACCATGATTATTGGTTTTAGCAAAATCCAAACATCTTAGCTCAGTTCTAGAGAGGTAAACGGTCAGCAGGGCCTTCATGTTTTCCTTGCAGATTACCATTATTATATTTGAGTCCTTGGACTTCTCTTCTTTGGCTACAAAGTCATTCACACAACTTGGCAGCTAGTAGAAAATGAATTAAGTATGCAAGTGGTAAATTACAATATAGAACCTATTCCATAAAGAAGCCAAACATTTTTTAAGCGATGAAAAGCAATGGTAAAAACATCATATTTAATGGATTTGTAATATATTACACAGTAATAATCAAATGAACAACCTCAGCCAATTCATATGGGCCTGTCTTTGACTTCATGGCTGGTGATTGCATTGCGTGTTTTTGAAAAATAAATTAAATACCAAACTTTTTCAGTAATACTTTGAAGAACTTGCACTCTAATAATAAAATTCCCATAAAATTATCTGGAAATATTTTTATTAGTTTTGATTCTATAAAGTTTCACAGAATAGTAAAGATCTTTGCATAAAGAAATGTTTTCTAGAGAATAAAGTGAAATTCTTAGAACTGATATGACTATAAAATATTTATGTGGACCACGATAAGGACAAGTTTCCAGGAAATAAAGAGGAAAGTGCCAAAGAAGAAAACAATACATAAAAGAATAAAAATAAGTAACACATGTGTTATGGAAGTGCTTTCATGGTCCTAAGTATCCCTTCTGTGGTGTTAGACCTAATATCTATTTTCAGGCCTTCCAGTCTTAAATAGCACAATTAAGAAAAAATTTCCTACCTTCTCCTCTCAGAAAATTTTAATATGAAGAGACATCTGTAAACCCAAACCACAATACATAAGGAAAACTGGCCAAATGCAATGAAGGTTAAATAGATATGTGGAAAGTCCTTTGGAGGTGATAATGTTGAATTTCACGTAAGCACTGAAAACAGCAACCTTTAATAAATCCCTCCCACACTTTTTTTGTCCTCGAAAATGGCTAGGAGAGAGAACCATCCTTCCTCATATGATTTACTTAGACTTGCTGTTCACTCTTTTTCATGATTTCCATAAGACTAGTGTATGACACTCTCGCTTACCTATGACAAGGCTAAACACAGATCTTTAAGCTTTTGCCTGAACCTAACAAGGACAGACACAAACCCTCCAACTTCCCATTCTTTGTCTCATGAATGATTAGCTGAACTGTTTGTCCCTCTAAACTAGCTACACACAGAGATAAATATTTCCTATTTTGCTGACTGACTGAGACATCTCCTGACTGCAAAATCAATCTCGTTAAAAATCATTCCAACTGTAAATTGTCTACTGATTCTTATAAAAGTATAAGGCAATATCATCTTACCAAGACACTCTCATCTTCAGATCCTGGGTGCTCTCCATATTTCAATAGTGTGAATAAAATAAATTTCCTTATTCTGTTTTTGTCACAGAAAGAGGGAAAATTCAAGGATGTGCATCTTATAAAAAGAAGGCAGAGGACGTTTCTCTGCATGGCAATCAGGAACACATACTCTGCAGCCGTTACATCTGGATTACAAACCCCATCTCTAACACTTAAAAGCTTTTTGAACTTCAGCAAACTTACCTAAAATTTTTATCTCAATAGCCTCAATTTAAAATGGGCAACAACAATGTATTACCTATTTCATAGTGTCATTGGGAAAATTAAATGAGTTACTGTATATCTGTATATATACATAAATCACTTAAAACTGTGCAAGTCACATAGTAGGGAGTATTGGAATGTTAGATATTATTGTTATTACTATTATTGTTGTTGAATATTAGTTATTCTTGTTATTATTATTAATAATTTTATTATTTTTTCTTCCAAGTAAGTTACACAACCTAAGGGAATAAAACAGTACTCAGTTTGGAAAAATGAGATAAATTTCAGTTTGCTGGATGTGGGAGCACCCCTTGATGCAGTTTAGAATGAATGTAGGGGTCTAAATTAGGAATAATTCAGAAAATCAATCATGCAAGATGAAGCAAGTAATCAGAATAGAATAGAGGAAAAGTCCTCTACATTGTGAATATGGATCTCGGTTATAAGGACTAGGAATCAACTTACATATATACACGATATATGCACATTATTATAAGAACAATCCTTGCTTCCTTCAAAGACCTTGGCCCACCTCTGTATGAACCTCATGGAAATAGCTGGTCCAAGAAGAATAAATGTCATAAAAACATGAGAGATATACAAATAAAGACAAACATATTACTCATTTATTTATCTTTTTATTCATTCAACCAATATTTTATGAGAACTCACTGGAAACTCTAGGCATTTTTTTTTTTTTTGATACATCAGTAAACAATGAGACAGTGGCACCTGTCCTCAAGGAATTTTTATTTTACTGGGAGAAATGGATACTGAACAGCTAATATCCAGATAATAAACAATAAACTTTATAAATATGTAAATTTTATGTCATGTTAGATGGTGATTAAGACCAGAAAAGAGAAAAAGTGAGACAAGATAAAGGAAATAAGGAATGATAAATAGTAGAAATGGAAGCTATGTGGAGTGTAATATTCAACAGAATAGTCAGAGTAACCTTTGAAAGGTTGAGATTTAGACAGAGACTTGCAGAATGTGAGGCAAATAGCCAAGTGGATGTGTGGGGGAAGAACATACCAGGCAGAGGGAACACTTGGAACAAAAACTCTAACAAAAATGTGCCTGGTGTGTTTGAGGAAGAATGAGGAGACTGGAGTGACTGAAGCAGAATGAGAAATAGAGTAGTAGAAAAAGAAATCTGAGAAAGTACAAGGCCAGGTCGTACAAGGTCTGGTCGAGTTTGGTGAAAAATTTTTTTTTACTCTGAAATAAATTAGAAGACATTACAGGGTTTTGAGCAGAGAAGTGACATAATCTATCTTGTGTTTTAACAGGATTACTATTTCTGTTCTTTTGAAAATAAACTAAAACTAAACTAAACTACAAGGATGATAGAAAAAGGTTAAGAGGCTATTAAAGTGAAGGATGATGATGGCTCAATCCAGGGTAATAACAATGCGTTGGCCAGAAGTGTTCAGATTCTGGATGCATTTTACAGGTGAAGACAAGAGGATTTATTGATAGATTGGATGTTCAGTATGAAAGAAAGAGAGGCATTCAAGGACAACTCCAAGATTGTTGACCTAAGAAACTGGAAGAGAGGAGTTACTATTGATTGAGCGTAAATTTTGGAAATAAAAACACAAGTTCAATTTGGACATGTTGAGATTTAGATGTTTAGAAGTTATCCAAAAGGAGTTTGTGCAGGCCTTTTCATAGTTGAATCTAGACTTTGGGGAGCGGTCTTTAAATTTACAGAGATATAAATTTAAAAGTGTTATGTAAACTATGTTTAAGAAATGGAATTGAGGGCTGGCCTGGTGGCGCAAGTGGTTAAGTGCACGCGCTCCGCTGCAGCAGCCTGGGGATCGATGGTTCGGATCCCGGATGCGCACCAACGCACAGCTTGGCAAGCCATGCTGTGGCGGTGTCCCATATAAAGTGGAGGAAGATGGGCACAGATGTTAGCCCAGGGCCAGTCTTCCTCAGCAAAAAAAAGAGGAGGATTGGCAGATGTTAGTATAGGGCTGATTTCCTCACAAACAAACAAACAAAAAAGAAATGGAATTGAATGCAATGACCAAGAGATGTAAAAAGAACAGAAAGTGAAAGTGGGCAAAATTTACACACTGAAAACAAAACAAAAGCTAAGAATAATTTTAGAATAATTTAAATAAAAATAGATATATACTATGTTCATGGATTAGAAGACTCAATATTGTTATGACATCAACTCTTCTCAAATTGAAATATAGATTAAATGCAATCCCAATTGAAATCACAGCAGGCATTGTAAGGAAATTGATAAGCTGATTTTAAAATTGATTTGTCAGTACAAAGAACCTAAAACAAACAACCTTAAAAAAGAAGAACAAGTTGTAATTCTTTCCCTACCTGATATTACAACTTACTCAAAAGGCAAAGTAATTGTGACTATATGATATTGGTATAAAGATAGACAAATATATCAATGTAACAGAACAGCAAGTTCAGAAATATTGCACATAGTTAATTGGTTTTCAAAAAAACATTGTCAAAGCTTTCAATGGAAAACGAAAATTTTCTAAACAAATGTTCTGAGGACAAACAAATAACCACATGGATAGTCAAAGCCCCAAATTACTTTGAGATGAGTCATAGTCCTAAAATTAAAACCTTGAAAAAACATAGACAAATATCTTCATGATCTATAGGTAAACAAAGAAGGCCACAAAAAGCAATAACCGTAAGAGAAAAAATATTGAGTAATATATTATCAAAAAGTAAAAAACACACTCATCACATATGGAAGCAAAAAGGAAGTGGAGAGCCTAGCCACACACTGGGAGAAAATATTTCAATATATGTATGTGGCAAATGGCTTTATCCAGAACATAAAGAACTCCTATAACTCAATAATAATAGGACAAATAAGTAAAATGGACAAAGGACTTGGACAGATATTTCAGAAAAGAAGATATACAAATGACCAATAAACACAAACAAAAATGCTCAAAATCAATAATAATCAGGGAAATGCTAATTAAAACTACCCTAAGATACCATTTCATACTCACAAAAATGACTAAAACTAAAAATACTAATAACATCAACTGTTGGTGAGGATGTGGACCAGCTGATGCTTTTATATACTGCTGTGTGAGTATAAAGTTTTACAACCACATTGGAAAACTGAATGGAAGTTTCTTATACCATTAATCATACATCTACTCTATGATCCAGCAATTCTACTCCTAGATATTTACCCAAGACAGATGAAATTAAATGCCCACAAAAAGACTTGCATAAAAATGTTCAGAGCAGTTTTATTCATAATAGTTGTAAACTGGAAACAACCCAACTGTCTATCATTAGGAGAATGATTAAAAAATAAAATTGTTTGAAATTAAAAATATTATTACTAAAAATGTAGTGTATTGGTGGGATGAAAGAATTGGGGAATTTCTGAAGAACTTAAAAACAAAAGTCAAATAGAAAGAAAATAAGAGAAAAAATATAAAAGACAAAGAGGATTAATTTAAAAGATCCAAGATCCAAGTTGAATGAATACAAAGAATTGGAAAAGAGGAAATTATCAATGGAAAAATGCAAGAACAAATTTTAGACCTGAACTGGGACAAGAGTCTTACATTTAATAGGTCTACAGAGTGTAGGTAGGATAAATGAAATACAAAATGACTCACATATGTTATATGCTATAACTTTGAGATTTTGTATATTGGATTTTCTTTCCTTATTAAAAAAATTCAGATATGGGAGTATTTATTACTATTATATAAGAATTCTTGTGTATTATTTAAAATCTAATATTGTTTTGGAATATTTTCTTTTAAAGAAAGACAGCTCTTAGGAAATATTATTTCTGATGAATTCAGAATTTTATAAGAAGATAAACAATAATATATATAATAGCCTCGCTTTCTTTCTGGCTACGTTTAACATCATACATAGTGATGCGGAACAAAATGGCTTTCAGAGGGAAGACCAATTCTTTTTCACAGCACAGATGGCCTGAGGTCTAAAGACCTGATTATACTTTCTGATGTAAAACAAGCATCAGGAAAAATAGAGCCAACTCTAATAGGGGCACACACACACACACACACACACACACACACACACACACATCAATATTTACTCAGTTCTTGGGGATGATTTTGATGGTGTGAAGAAATTTTTAAACATTTTCTTTTAATTAAAAGGGAGTTACTTATTACTACTGTTATACTATGAAATATCATTTTATTGAATACAGAAAACGTGTCTATGTGTTTGTGAAATGTGTAAATGAAATGATTCGCCAATATTCAAAACGATAGTATGAGACATTCTTTTGCATATGAAAGGTTAAATGTAGTAGTAAAAACGTGATTTGTAGTTAGATAGTAGTCAGATTGACATGACCTAGAACCCTGGGTTTACCACTTATAAGCCATGCTCTTGGAATCTGAGAGTTTCAATTTCATCTATTAAATGAGAATAATAATATGTGCCTTGTAAATTCAATACAGATTTAAATATATACAAAATATCTAATATGAAGCCTTGAACATTATAGATGCTCAGTTCAGAATCATTTTGTGAAATCCTTCCCTGGCTTCCTAGTTCTCCTACAATAAAATTCAATGTCCTAAATATCTATCACCAGGCTCTTCATCATCAAAACTCTCTTATCTGTCCAACCTAATATGTACTTTCAGCAATATTCAAGCACTTACAGCTTCTTGAATGTTCCACGCCATCATACACCTCTAGCACTTTGCATATACCTCTTCTTGCACTTTTCACTCTATTCTTATACGTAGGTATATTCTGGCTTTTAACTTCTCAGCTATATCTTATTCATTTGTATTTGTTCATTAACATATTCATTCATCACACGGTGACCGTTCTTATCTGTCAGGCACTGCATTTGACTCTCAGGATACAGTAATAAACAAAATAAAGAAAGACCTTCTCATTTAATAGCTTATAGTTGAGTGGATGGAGACACACCTCTGTGCACATGCATACACACGCATATATAACACAGACAGGTATGTAGCATACGCTGTATTGGTGATGAGAGCTGTGATAAAAACGGAGCAACAGGTTACAAGGCAGTGTGAATTTAATGGAGTAAGATAAGGTCACAAATGGGAGGAAAAGAAGTCACAGACAAAGAGCATTTAACGTACCATCCAGTAAGACATACTGAAAAATTTAGGTGCTATTTTAAGAAGTCGTTGGAGAATTTGGAGCAGGAGGGTAGCATAATCTGATTGGCATTTTAAAAATATCCTGAAGTTTGCTGAATGGAGGAAATTTTACGGGATAGCAAGGAAGCAATCAAGAGACCAAGGGGTCAGGGTGAGAGAAGATAATGACTTTTATTAATGTCAGAGCAGTGGAGCTGGGGTTAAGAGGTTGTTAATAAAATATTTTGAAGAGAAATTGACTGTGACTTCCTGATTAGATTTGGACGTGAGAGACAGAAGTGCAAGGTTGACATCTAAGCATGTTGGTGATCGTTACTGCCATTTACTAAGATGAGGTGACAGAGGAGGAGACTTGGGAGAAAATCAAGATTCCTTTTTGGCACGTGTTACTTTTGAGATTCCTGGTATTTTCCAAGTGAAAATATCATTTAATCAGTGGAGTTTTTTTTTTCCCCCGAGGAAGATTTGTCCTTGGCTAACATCTGTGCCCATCTTCCTTTATTTTGTGTATGGGATGCCACCAGAGCATGGCTGATGAGTGGTGTAGGTCCGCGCCCGGGATCGGAACATGTGAACCTAGGCCACTGAAGCAGAGCTCGCCGAACTTAACCACTAGGACACAGGGCTGGCCCTAACCGGTGGAGTTTTGATGGAAAAATTCCACAGAAGTTATCAACATGTACGTGGCATTTAAAACCATAGGGCCAAGGATTATATAAAGAAGAGAAAGGGGTGGGAGACTGAACCCTGGGTAGCTATGTTTTTTAGCAATAAACAAGAGAAAGAGCACATAGAGGAGACATAGAGGGAGCGACCACATAAGCAGCAGAGAGACCAGGAGAATGAGTTCTCCTGTAAGTGTAGTGAGGATTTTGTATTAGTTGCGGTTCACGCTAAGGTATTGTAAAACAAAGATCTGAACACACATTGGATTAAATACAAATCTATTTTTTTAAATCATGTATTAGTCCAGTGGTTCACAGTCCAGGATTGTAGGGCACTTTTGTTATTCTCAACGTGGCTTCCATCTCTGGGTCCATATGTCAGCTCCTGTTCGAAGCATCTCCTAACTGGAGGAAAAAAGAAAAATGGCAAAGAGAGTTTATTCCTGTTTCTTTTAAGGCCATGACCGAGAAGAGGCACACATCCTAATGGCAAGTACCTAGTTTCATGGCCCTACATAGCCACTGCAGAAGTCAGAAGTGTAGTTGGCAGTGTGTCCAGCTAAAACTTTATTACTACAGCAGAGGGAAAGAACAGATAGGGTAATGATTAGGGGATTCTTCCGCAAAACTATATCAAAAAGGACAGTGACTGACTATGCAGAGTGTTGCTGTGAGGTTAAGAAATTTTAGGACAAGGAAGTAATTGTTGGATTTGTCAAAACAGAGCTCACTAGTGACACTGACTGAATTGGTTTCAGTGGAGTAGTGGGAACACAAATCTGATTGCTGTGGTTTCAAAAGAGCTAGGAGGTTTGGGAGTAGAGACAGTAAATATGGGACAGCAGCAGTCTTATTAACTTTTAAGAAAAAGATGACAGTGGCACTGGTTTCCAATCAAATTCCTTCTTCTTAAAGTAAAATAAGCAAAGAAAACACACAGTCACACAATACGAAATGAAAAACTTGATATATATTTGGGAACATAAAACATTGTTTTAAATTTTAGGTCCAGATTTGTTCCAAAATGGTTTTATGGAAGGAAAAAAAATTGCGTATGAAGAATCAGCATGGCTAATGCAAAGACAAACCAAAGAAGGCAAATTGAAAAAAAAGGAGGAAGAAAAGGAGGCAAATCTCAAAATTCTACAAATTCTATACTCTAAACTCCATACAATCAGAATTAACGAGGGGAATACCAACACAAATTTGTTTCCTTGATTGTGGATTTTAACAATAAAAGGCAGCATAAAGATAGACAAATTTAACAGTGTTCATTTGTTTGGAAAAATATATCACGTGTGAGCAGATAACTTGAATATATCCCAGTAGAGTTGGAAAGATTGTAAACCAAACTAAAACAAGGGAAAAGAGACTCGGAGAATCCCTAAACAACCTCAATATATTCACATCCCCAGGACTCAATGATACACAGACAAAGGTGCTCAAATAATTGCCTGCTTTTATGATATCACTTAGCCAATTATTTTGATGGAAATTCAAAGAATAGGAGAACCTTGAAAGTTAAAATGACAAAAGGAGCTTTCTTGAATAATGAATAAGTCTGATAATTACCGAACACCATTAGCTTAACTTCACTCCTAGACATGCATAGTCAGGTGAGGAATAAGATAACAGTGCGTGGATGAATCCAGGAAGACGAACGTTAAAAATGTACTTGATTTTGCACCTCTGATTGTTGTTTTTTTCCTTTAAAATTTTTGAAAAGGCATTGTTTCAATTCATACCACTAAATACTTTTAAAAAGCAATTTTTTATCTCAAGTTCTCAGACATGTTTAGGACCATTTCATATATAAGTAATCAGGTTTTAAGAGGTTGAGAGCTGATATTTTCATAAAACAAAATATTAAAAGAGCAGATTTGTTTTACTTCAAAATCACTTCTTGTTTCATTGCATCCCACTGCCTTCAAAGGCATGTGTGATTCCCATTCTGTGACAATATAATTAACAGGTACTGTGAAACACGGTGTAGAACATTGACATAGTAATTCATTGGTAACAGACCAAACAAATTGAAATTAAGGAGGAACAATTTCCTTTGTAATCTGTCCTTCATTAAGAAATGTTTTTCAACTAACATGGCGGAACAGGTCCATCTGAACTTCTCAAAAACTACTGCTTCTGAGACTAGACTAATTGGTGTAAAAATAGAAAATATCCAACTGGCTATTTGACATCTTTGACCAAAAAAAGTGGTTTTTTTTAAAACTTTACCTTTTGTCTCATAGCTTTTTACTGTAGAATAAAATGTTATGTCAAATTAAAAATGAATTGCTTTTTAATGCCAGAATAGCAGAAACTAAGCGTGTTTTAAAAGACATTTTACTTGCTTCAGAAACACCGTGTGTCATGGTTGTTGCAATATATCTGTATTCACAAAATTTATCTTCTTTCTAATAGCAACAGTAAATTCCTTCTAGTAACAATAATAGCCTGCTTGATTCTGCCTTTCATCCAAAAAGATTATTTTTGTGTATATATGATGGGCAGTGTGAAATAAGCTAACCTCAGCTCCCACCTGAACCCTTGATGTTACTTGTGAAAGCTCCACATGCATCTAGGTGTTCCTGACAGCTCCCAGCTTGCACGTATCTGGTTGAAAAGTCACAGGACACTTGGAGTCTTGAGCTTGAGGCCAGTTCAGTGAAAACATGTTGGAGCAATGCTGAGTGTAAATGTGAAGAACAACAGGGCATACACATTACAGTGTGGACTATTTTAACACAGGAATTCCCTTCTTCCTCCCTTTTTGGAATGAACACTTGTACACCATAAGAAAGAACTAATCCAAACCATAAGAAAGGACTAATTAATATTCATACACACACACACACAATGCACACTGACTCACACTTTTGGAAGAAAAATAGCAAAGACAAGACCTTTATTTTCAAGCTTGTCAGAAAATCCCCCTAACTAAGCATACCTGCTTACAATGTTTATATTCTAAATATGTTCTGCTTATTGCGTTATTCCCCAAAGTTATAAACTCTTTTTTTAATTCCAAAACAGTTCAGCTAATACTTGTGAATCACTTATAGTTTATAAAATGATGCTTTCAGAGCATTACATTATATTATAGTCAATGTCCAATAGGCAAATACTATTAGTATCTCCTTTTTACGGTTAAGGGAAAATATTCAGATGGATTAAGGTCACCCAATTGTTAAGTGGCTGTTACCAAATTCTGGAATTAATAATATCAAATTTACTTCTAATTACATAGTAATGTTGGAAAATAAGTCTTCTGGGAGTTTTTTTTTGATATTTCTAAAAGTCATAGTTTATCATCTCTTCCTTAATACCAAAATTTTCTGTGAATAGAGACCAGCACCTTGAAAGGAAGACCATAAGTTACATATTTTATAAATATCAACAGTATTGTGAAAATTGATTTTGAATATCAATGATAAAGGGAATAAATAAAAACAGCAAAGGTATATTCCTGTAGCAACAATTGGCAGAGGTCGGAAAGCCTTGAAATTTTGTTTATAGCACGGAGGCAAATATTGTATGTTTCTTAAGGCAGAATTTCCCAAATTTCTCGAATTAAAGTGATTATCTATTGGGACTTATAAAAATGATGAATTGCAATGCAGATCTAGTGAATCAGAATCTTCTGAAAAGTGACCTGGGAATTCATATTTTTAATAAATAAGCTAAGTGATTCGATTAATTATAAAAGTTTGGGAGAAACAGTCAATATATTTCACAAACTTCTAAGGGTATAAAGGAATAAAATTAATCATAGGAACTCTTTTGTTCTAAATAAAAATATAGTGTTAAGTGTGTTTTTGCTAAGTTTTGAGAAATGCATATACCTTTGTAACCCATAGTGCCACCAAGATACAGACTATTACCATCACCCCAGGAGTTTTCCTAATGTCCTTTACAATCAACTCCTGCCCCATATGCAGGCAAGCAATGGCTATTCGGAATTTTTTCCACCATAGATAAGATTTGCCTCTTCTATAACATCATAAAAATGGAATCAAACAGTATTACTCTTTTGTTTAAGGCTCCATTCACTCAGCATAGGGTTTTGGAGATTAACCCATGGTGTTGCATGAACCAGTAGCTTATTTCTATGTAGTGTTCCATTTTGTTAATATACCAAAACATATTTATCCATTCTCCTATTGATACACCTATGGAATGTTTCCAGTTAGAGGCCATTATGAATAAAGCTGCTACGAACATTCTTGTACAAATATTTTGTGGACACATGTTTTCATATTTCTTGGGTAAATACTTAGGATTGGAATGGCAGGGTCATAGAGTAGGTATAGTTTTAATTTTATAAGAAACTTCCAGACATTGTTCTAAAGTGGTTGTAACATTTTATACTGCCACCAATAATACGAGTTGCTACACAATCTTCCCATCATTTGGTGTGTTTTCAGACTTTTTATTATGGTTTTGATTTGTATTTCCTTGATTAATAATGATGGTGAGAACATTTGCATGTGCTTAGTGATCATTCAGAGATCTTTTCTAGTGAGTTGTTTATTTAAGTATGTCCATTTTTTATTGGCTTCTTCCCTTTTTGGTTAACTCTGGCCTACTGTACTTCAGAGCATAGACTGTATACATATGAAGACTATGTAATTATGAATAATATGTATTTACATAGGAAAAATCCAGAATATCTGTGATGTCTACTTCTTCAAGCATTCAGTAAGGTTCCAAACACAGGGGTATAGTGGCAACCTCTCTAAAGGCAGAAAGGTAAGGCAGAAACTCTGCCCGGAGGCTTTCTGCCTGTGGCCTGCAATCCAAATTGACTGTGGGAATATAACTTTCCCCTTGTCCAAGTTAGGAAAGCTGAAGTTTCAAACTAAATTCTGGGTAAAGAAAGGTAGGAAAGCAAGATGTTGTTAGCCACATGGCAGACCCTGGAGCTATAAGGACAATAGAAAAGGGAGATCCCTCCAGCAATTATTTTTCAAATATTTTTCTGTAGCCCTCCTTCTGGGTCTCCAGATACCCTTCTCAGAGTGTTTGCCAGGTCGCTGAATCTTGCATCTTACTTTTTCAGTGTTTTATTTCTCTGAGCTTCAGTTTTGATAGTTTATATTGCTATATCTTAAAGGTCACTGATCTTTTCTTAAGCCCTTTCTAAATTACTGTTAATTCATTCTGTTAAGTTATATAGACTGCATTTTCTACTTTTTCCATCTTTAGTAAAATTTCAGTTTATAGTGAACATTGTATGATTTTTCTGTGGCTGGTATATAAGTAACTAGTGAATCAAATTAACTTTTTTTTTTTTTTTTTTTGCTGAGAACTCACCTTGAGTTAACATGTTGCCAATCTTCCTCTTTTTTTTTTGTTGTTTGAGGAAGATTAGCCCTGAACTAACATCTGTGCCCATCTTCCTCTATTTTGTATGTGGATCACTGCCACAGCATGGCTGTCAAGTGTGTAGGTCCACGGCCAGGATCCAAATCCGTGAACCTAGGCCGCTAAAGCAAAGTACACTGAACTTAACCACTACGGCACAGGGCTGGTTGACTTTTTTGAGGCTTGTGTTTAAGCTTATTATGGAGGTCTAGTGTGGCCTTGATTCTATTGCTAGTTTATCCCTACTACTAAATCCTGAATTTTCTGGGGCGTTTTTTGAATTAGAAGTGGTCAACAAGGTTTCTTCACGGAGGGTGTTTGGAACTTAGCATTATAAAATAAATTTTGAAATTCTATGTTGTTCTATGGCTTATTTCAATTTAAATAATAATGAACTTATCTCATTTTTAAAAGTTAGGCAAAATTCTGCCATTTTCCAGCTAGAGCTCACTCACTTTTCAATATATGTTAACTAACCTTTCTCTTCTTTTTGAGTACAATTAATTTAGTCAAACTTTTCACCTCTTTTTGGATCAGTTTTGATGATTTGCATGTCTCTAAGAAATCATATGCTTGTTTTATGAAGTCACATGTAGTGTTTCCTTTAAAATAGCTTAAGTTGTTTTTCTAATATTACTTACATATTTATTTCTCCTTTTTCCTTAAGTTGCTGAGAGCTTATAAATTTTATTAGTTATTAAAACACTGATAAAGAATTTTTTATATTTTTTTTGATTAATCTCAAAAGATAATTCCACATTCTTTGCAACTTCTCTTCTTCTTCTTCTTTTTTTTTTTTTTGCTGAGGAAGATTTGCCCTGAGCTAACATCTTTTGCCAATCTTCGTCTTTTGTTTGAGGAAGATTTGCCCTGAGCTATCATCTGTGCCAATCTTCCTCTATTTTGTCTGTGGGTTGCTGCCACAGCATGGTTGCTGACAAGTGTTGTAGGTCTGTGTCCGGGAACAAAATCCGGGCCGCCAAAGTGAAGTTTGCTGAACTTAACCACTAGGCCATGGGGCCAGCCCCTCTTCTTTCTTCTTTAATGAATTATAGATAGCTATAAACTTTCCATCCTA